AACCCCTAAGTCCTAAACCCAAAACCCTAAACCCTAAACCCAAAACCCTAAACCACAGGGCCCCGGCTGGCCACACACGAGCGAGATAGCAGCTGAGAGGGTGGTCTTCCCGTGGTCGACGTGACCGATGGTGCCGATGTTGATGTGGTCCTAGTTTGGTTTTGGATTTGGGGTTTAGGGTTTAGGATTTACGGTTTAGGGGTTTAGGGTTTAGGGTTTAGGGAATTAAAGGAAACTACAGGTGGGGAGTTTCGGGTATATAGGGCTTCAATAAGGCTTCTATAGGGTATATAGACCTTCTATAAGGCTCCTATAACGGTTTCTACCCACCTGAAAACGTCCTAGACTAGGATTTAGTGTTAGAGTACATAGGGCTAAAGATGTAGGGTTTAGGGTTCAGAGTGTTCCCCGCCAGTGGCGTAGGGCTGGGATTTCTGCGCCACGGGCTAGGCAGGGTTTGTCATGTAGGCGTCAAAAAGCCAGAACCCTCCACCCCCTCCAAAAAAAGACGCGCACGGCGCGCACACACACGCACACACACGCGCACGCCGCAAAAAAACAAGTAAACCAGCGAACAAAACCCCAACCTCAGGACACACAGCGACAAAATGGACAAAGTGATGACAAGCAGTTGGATCGGCCTTCGCCTGCCTTACCACGGCCTGGGCTCGAGACTTCTTGCTGGCACGGCCTCGGGGCTGCTGGGAAGGCTCTGACATGTCTAGGCTGTCCAGCAAACCACTGGGGAACGGCATAATTATGTACTTTGGGGGGTTAGTTTAGGGTTTAGGGTTTAGGGTATGTACTTTGGGGTTAAGTTTTATGGCGATGGGAGCCCAGAAACAATAAAGCAGACGGATCTGCTTACTGCTGAACAGGCTGGTGTCAGAGTGCTTAGGACTTTGAAGTTTTTGGTGGCTTCCGGGTTGGGGCAGGCGCTTCGGGCTACAGGGCCTTGTAGAGTTAAGCGTTTTAGGGCTTAGGGTTTAGGGTTCAGAGCGTCAAATTTAAGGTTTGAAGCTTCAAAGTTGAGGTGCTTGCCTTTCTTAGCATGCTGGTGTATTTTTGGTGGTCACAGTTCATGAATCTATTGAGGGGTTAGGAGTATGGTCTTCACAGTCATAGAAACAGTCTGCGAGGGGTCGCGAGGGGAAGTCTCTGACAGATTCCTCAAGACTTAGGGTTTAGGGTTTAGGGTTTAGGCTTCGGGTTCCCAGAGTCGTGCTCGTACCATGGGCTATTGAGGGCTGCCCAGCCTCCTAGCGGCTAGTCTGCAGGCCAGAGATCACTATTTGGGTAGTTCTCCAAATTAGGGTCCCTTTCTAGGTCCCAAATCTAGTACGACACCCTTACAAAAAACGACCCTTAAAAGCGACCCTGATTTGGAGAACTACCCGTTTCTGCCCTTGACTTTCTCCTATCGACGTCGAGGAAGACTGCTGTTCTTGTGAATCTTCGCAGAACCGTATTCTATTCAGTATGCCCTCTGCACTTCCAAGACAAGGTCTGTTGCGGCGTGGTAGGGCCGTTTCAGCAGCTTACGGTGGGGTTGGGGGTTCGGGGAATGTGAGGGCCTTCATATTTCAACAGAGGGTTCAAGGTCGGGTTTGGGCTTAACCCTAAACCCCTAAACCCTATAAACCCAAAACCCCGAAACCCTAAACCCTATAAGCCCCAAACCCCGAAATCCTAAATCCCTAAAGCCCTAGACCCCTAAAGGCCTAATTCAACCCGAAACTTCTAATGGATCCTCGAAGGGACCCCATAGACGTTCCTTTACGGGTTCCTTTAAGCGTGAGGTCCTAAACCCTAAAACCCCAGACCCCT